GCCTCGTTCTTTTATCGAGTCTCCGGAATACAGCATTAAATGCTGCTCGCTTCAAATGGCTTCAACTCTTCGTCTTCCCTGTTTGCCATTACTTGATAACTCGTGTCTTTTCACTTTCAACAGTCGTTGTTGAAGCTGTCATAGTCACTTTTTCGGCAAATTCATATTCATCACATTCACGAATGTTACGAGTCATCTGTCCTTTCTTCATCGGCCCCACTATTGGAGGGTTAGTCTCGAGGGGGTCTGGCACCTGATGAACGAGTTTTCTGTATGAGTAGTTTGTTTTCTTATTGGAGTAGAGTTTCGAGGCTATAAGTAAATCCGTAATATGAGATGTATTCATCCAATTTCGTTTAAGGTGATGAAGGACTGGTAGAAGAAGAATTTTCCTACAATGATATGAGTTGAGCTGACGTTTCCATTTAATATCACATAGCCTTGCTTTGCCAAAAGTTCTTCTCATGCCCGCTGGAGTGGACTGCAGCTTCGAAACAATACTTTAATGCGAAAAGTAGAAAATTAGTCATGCTGTCCATGATGGAAGTGATCATGATTTCGAGAATGTCAGTGTCTATTTCTGAATTAGCCGCCAAAATGTGGAGTGTGCTCATTTGGGGAAATTACTTCTGCTCATACAGCAGTGCTACAGTCTATCCACTTGTTCACATGTCACCTGCTCCACACGACTGCTATAAACCACACAGTTTCAGCTGCATGAGTTCAGCTAGGGCTTGTGTAGATAGTGAGGTTGTGAAAATGTGTGAAAAATTCACTCGAATCGGATTCCATCAGAAGACGAAGCAAGAGTCATTCAGCTGTCGTTAGGCTCTACTCACACCTTCGAGGCAACTTGGCTTGAGTTCGATGAAAACCTGCAGAATTTCCATCTTCTATTAGAGCTTTAAGTAAGGAAGAACTGATAGAAAATTCTCCCAAACTGCCTCGAAAAGGTATTATCATCCTGGCTCGATTGGATGGTGCTTTCATCCTCGGCCGGGTCTCATCGATGCTCTTAACAGGAATTGAACATGAATCGCAACTGTGCAGCCAACAATTGCGACATTTCGCCGCTATTTTGACCAAATACGCGTTGATACTTCTTCGCCCAATTCGACCTAGTCCGACTAAAGCTCTTGTTCAAGATCTACTAAAAATCACGTAATTTCACTCAATTCGAATACAATTAACGTTGCCGGTTGTAATGGCGAAAATATTTTTGCATCAGTGACAATCACATTATACCAATATGATATGGGAAGGCATGGATTGCTTTGAAAATCATTTCTGTCCCGTGACAGTCTGACGAGGTGGAAACGTGTTTAAGTTTTACGCTGTACCGCCACAACAACTCGGGTTTGAGTCCCGTCAGGACTAATGATGAGACTAATTCAGGCGAGGTCGAAACTGCAGTCCAATAGTGCCTGGATGAGAACAACTTTTGGGAAACGTCAGCTCAACTCATGTCATTGTGGGACAATTCTACTACCAGTCCTTCATCACCTCAGACGAAATAGGGTGAATACATCTCATATGAGTAGTCTGGTTGGAAATATCATTAATTTTTCTATAATACCTTCGCCTTGACCGATTAAGATCACACGCTATCAGATGACTAGGTTTCATATGACCATTGCATTTCACTTAGTCTTGCCTCCCAAAAGCTATTCCTCTTCTGGATTGATTGCAGCTTCGAGAGGATGTCACGTGTACTGCGTAAACCTGAAGGTGGTGTTAATGCCAAACGGCTGCGGTACGGCGGAAATCAACTGTTGCCTTTAGGTGAGATCGGCCGGCGGATCCATTCATCGAGTGTTCTCGTGCGAACTTTACCTTTAAACACGAAAAGACATGTAACCATAAATCACTACGAAATTCTTCAAAACCCATCTTTTCTTCATCTAGCCGCTTAATGCTACAGCGGCGCAACTGAATGCCCATCGGACCCCACATATCAGCAAGTCTGATCTGCCTGAAAATGTGATTTCCAAGTTCTTTTCTACCCTCAGCTAAAAAGGGCACGCAGAATCGCTTCGTACAAAAGAACTTTCTGTAATACCCACTCGTCTTGCCCTCATTTGCTTTTTGCCACTATCAGTCATTTTTCCCATTTGCGATTTGTGTTGAAATGGACCGATTATTTAGCCATCTGACCCAAATTAATCCCAACCATTGCTTGGTTTCAGTCCCAAGCCCAAACAAACAAATGGACGTGATACGGAAGCGTCGAAAAGAGTTGTCTTGTGACTATGGTGTAAAACGACTAGATGTTCTGAATGAGTACGTTTCAAATGTAGCTTGAAGGAAAACCCGGCTCATTCGAGTTAGTTTTGACGTAATGTATGAATTGGTAAATAAATTTCTCCCAACAGGTCTCGTTAAGACCTGATTAAGATTGACTAATTTATTGAATCACCTTTAGCCAACTCTATTTGCATCCATACTGAAGATGGTAAATGTTTCTTATGGATGTAATTTCATGTCCATATCCACAGTACCAAGCTGGAAGTTATCGTGACTATGGGGATTTGTGTGACTCCGGACAGAGTGCCTTCGTCCGAGTCTCTTAGGCAACACGACCAGGTTTCGAGAACGAGGTCAACTCATTGCTATTCCGTGAAAAGTGACAGCGACCAAAATAGTGACCACATCATCTTGGTCTTAATGTTTACGTTAAAATTCAAGAGCTCAAATAATACCATTTTTTCTTATTACAGATTGCTTAAACAACTTCAGGCTTTGCAACGAGAAGAGGCCGAGCAGTTGGAATTTATTGAACAATTTCTCGTTGGCCGATAGACCGTCGGCCGTTTATTCTCTGACGTAATCGGTCTTTCGCCGTTTTATTTGTCAATTCTTTTCTGCAGTTCTCTTCTTCACATGCAACTTACCCATCATCGTTTGTCTCCTTTCTCCGATCTACCGCGCTCTGATCTACCAACCCGACGAAACGAAACCTGACATGTCATTCTGATGCTGGTGAAGTCGAGTCAGCCAATGCAGCTGCAGAGGCGTCACGGATTGCACTCACTCCACAGCATTTACATCAACTTTCAGTCAGACTGTGAGTTTATGGGAAGTAATAAACGCGAGAGTGTATTCATTATTTGCCTTTTTGTTGGTCAGCGGACGTCCATCGCAATCGGTTAGTTTAGTTTTAACTGAATTCGTGTGACAGGTTGTGATTCGCCCGACGGTACTGCCAAGAGACAGTCGGTAACGACTGTCTTCCGATCAAACCTCATGATTGCTACTTGTTCCATGTGTCCGATTCTTCTGCTTTTATCATCGAAGTTCTACTTGAAACCGTCGCCTACAAACAAGGGTCGAATTGAAGGCATTAGAGCCTTTGATGTCGTCATTCTGAAGAGGCAGGCTCGAATCTCGTTAAAGCTGCCGAGTCAACGATTCGTCCTTTCGCTCGTAGCGAGGTTGCATGACTTCTTAAATGAATCCGCGGTTTGAGTGGGATTGACATGGCAATGCATGGAATTACTTATAAATACGAAGAGTAACTGGGTTTGGATGAATCTCTTGACATAACATTGTTGTGCAGACCTTCATTTCGTATGAAAGTGCGTGAAGAAGAGATTCGAAGGTTGTTCTGACCAGAAGACGATGACTGAATCCCATTGCACTGCAGCCATTTGGCTTTGATACGACGTTCCAATTGAAACAATCCACGAGACATCTTCTCTGGTCTCCTTGACCGAGTGTAAACTTGACACTTTTATAAAATTGAGTTCCAGTTCTGATGATGCCTGTTTTCAGCCAAGCTTGGGAGTTCAGTCGTCATCTTCTGGTGAAAGCAACCTACTAATCTGTTGGTATGAAGACCAAGATGGTATGGCCTTTTGTTTGGTCGCAGTCTCCTTTCGTTCTATAGAAGTTGTTTGACCTTGTTTTCGCAACTTGGTCATTTTGGTAGGAAGACGTAGAGGAACGCACTTTGTCCGGAGTCCATTTTATGCATCATCGTTTCCAGAGTAGAACCGTGAACGTGGTACATTCCCAGACGTATCGCCGGCATCGTCAGTGAGTTTTGCTACTATACAACAGCTCGTCAAAGAAACGAGAGTTGTATGGTGCTAAGAATGGCGAGACTCACTGACGATACCGGCGAAACGTCTGGGAATGTACCACGTCCACGGTTCTACTCTGGAAATGATGATGCATACAAGGAACTCTGGACTAGGTGCGTTCCTCTACGTCTTCCTACCAAAATGACCAAGTTGCGAAAACAAGATCAAACAACCTCTTTACAAATCTCTTCTTCATGCAATTTCATACGTAATGGAGATCTCCGCAACAATTGAGTTTCTTGCTTTTTCTTTTATAAGTAACTATATATTTGAGATATATGCGTTACTTAATACCTGTTGGAACGAGTTCCTCTCGATTTATCTCTAGAATCTTCCT